TTTTGAATGATCTGTTTTTACTGATTGAAACGACAGGTATGGAGTCCGAGATTTTAGGTACGCACAAAAATTCTAAACTCATTTCAAAGTCAATACCGTTTGAAATAGAAGCACATACTTAGAATTAATATTTATTCTCGTGTTATTTAATCCAGAAACCGCAACAGATATTTTTTTCTTTAATCCCTAACGAATTAGCACATTCAATCGTTAAGAATGACGTCATCGAACCTACATCACACAAAGCGCGAACTGATTTTAATTCACCGTAGCAATCTCTTATTAAAATATTCGCAGTAGAAAGTAAAACATTTTTGGTCTGACGCATTCCGTTTACAGCTGTGCCGGCGAAAATACTTTCTTTATTGGTAGAAGAAGAGTCATAAACAAATTTTTCAGCATTCGGATTGAGACTGACTGTCGTCTTCTCCCCCCCTACTTCCGGCTTTGAAATATGAGCACTTTCGGATTTATTTTGTTTTTCATTTTCGAAATGTAATAGCGTTGAATGTTTTCGCGAACATTTTTGATATCGATAATTAGACGAACACGTTCGAACGGAATGGTTTTTCAAACAATTAAAACAAAGCTTATTTCTTTTCACGAATTCACACCTGTCATTGACAGAAAGATTTATAAATTCCGGACACTTATATAATGAATGTAATTCTTCACCACGGCACTTTATGCACTTCAAATTTATGTTTTTCATATTAGAAGTGGATATCATACTCGTAAGTTTATGTGGAGAATTATTACTCTTTTTTACCTCCTTTATTTTACTGTTTTGAAGCGTTCTCGCTTGGCTTTGTAAAAACGAAAGTAATTGTTCAATCGTACCAAATTCTTCCGAGTTTTTTAATTCCTTTTCCCACCAGTATCGAGTCGATTTATCAAACTTATCCACTATCAAATATACAATCATTATTTCCGATAAGTTTTCTACTTTGTAGTTTAAAATATTTAAAGTTCGAATACATTCGTTCGTTACATCAATTAAATTTAGAATAGAACTAGATGTCTCGCTAATACTCGGCTGATTCAAAAGCTTTTTTATTATAGCATTTAAAAGCTCACGTTTATTCGAATACCTATCTTCTAAAAGTTTCCAAGCTATATCGAAATTTGTATCCGAAATAGAAATAGATTGTATTACTCTCAGAGCTTCGTCCTTACAACTAGCTTTTAAATATTGCAATCTCATTGCATTACTCGAAATAGATTTGTTTTCTATTACACTAGCTTTAAACATATCTTTAAACATTATCCAATTCTCTATTTTACCATTGAATATTGGTACCGATAGCGTCGGTAACTTAACATCCGAAAACACATTTTAATTATTATTACTCGGCACAGGAGAAACAGAATGTTCAGAATTCATCTTATTTTTTACTACTGCTAATTTACGTTTAATCATCAATAGCAACTCATCAACAATATCATCTGTATCTTCTTTATCCTTAATAAAGTTATCCAATTCTTCGGGTTTACATGCTTCGAAAATTGAATAAAATACAGATTTAAGTTCGTTAGAAATTTCATTAGTTTTGGTTTCAAATAGCTGCAACGCAACTGAATCTGAAACATCTAATGACGAAACAACTTTATCTTTATGCCTCGTCAGTGAACTTTTTAACACTCTTTTTCTAGTTTTTAGAGCTTCCATATTTATTACAGTTATACTTTTCAAATTTAATAGAGATTAAAATGGGAGAGCTCACCTTCGATTCTCGACGGACCACTTGCAACTGTACTCAGGAGCTGGTTGACTTTGTATTTAATAACAAAGATTATCATCACAAAGATATTTACTTTATTATACATTTATTAATCATTTTGTTGCTGTAGAGGAACGATCTGGCTCCAAAACATTTTAAATTCTCAATCACAAAGCTGTAAGATCTGTTACAGCAAGTACACAAAAGAAAAGAATACTGAATTCAAATTACGTAGGTCGAGAGTATAACGCGCTAGCAGCGCCGCCTGTCGGCAACTCTTAATCACTACTGAACAGTATGCTAACAGGAAAACACGATTTTGGAATTTTCTTGTGTTTTATTAGAGAGAATGTTATTCTACTCTCATGGTATAGTCTGCTCAATTTTCCTTTTGAGAACTGTATTGGATGTCTTCAGCACTGTTGGGCATTAAAACCGCTACACCAGAAAAGGAAAAAAATAGCGGAATTTTGTTTATTTCTCATATAGAGGATAATGGGAGAACGCTATGATTAAATTTTCACATCGTTTGAGGTGAAAAATTCCGTACACAAAGCTGACACATATGGCAGCAACAACGGCTATAATCCAGATGGCCATCGAATTGAACTGAGCTTGGGTAATCATTCGATGCATCCTCATCTCGCGTGCGGCAGAGTACCTATCCCTTAGAAACCCATGAACAGATGTTCTCAGTGGGAGAGAGATATATAGAGAACATGCTGGCCAGGGCAACAGTCGGGCAATCTGTGAGTCGAGAAAAGTCAGGACAGCACGGACAACATGTGACAGGGAAAGAGGGCGTCATCCAGGCCTAAAGATACGGCACAGCCACGGACTTAACACATCAGAAATATAATGGCTTCTATCCACATTACTAGCTATGCGAAGAAGAGATGACTAGGATGTGTACCCATCGGCACCTCGTAACAGCACGCCAGGTGCTCAACCCGAATGATGATAACAAATGCAAGTTGGCAACGTTCGTTCTCGTCGGTACATCCACACACTGATACATCCATCATACCATATGTAAAACCGGGATTCGTCTGAAAGTACGGCATGATGCTACATGTCATCATTCGTCTACCTATCGTAGGCGAGCCTGTCTCTCCTGCAGAGTCAAGGAAAGCCACACCAATGGTTGTCTTGCTGACAATTCTGGTGTTGCAGAAGTCGTACTCTCCTTGTAAACACTTATCCTGCACACAAACCAAGTTCCTGATTCAGGCTACATAACATAGCAATACGTTCTCGCAAAGCCAAGAGAACAATACATTTGTTCTCTCGGGCGTTAGCGGCGCGGAATCGCCGATATCTTGCATGGCGTTCAGTGTGGCCCGCCTAGACTCATCGATTCTATATGTGTCTGACAGTGATGGGATCTTAACCAACACGAGCAGCAATGTCGCGAAGCGATAAATCGGTAGGCCCAATAGATCACGATCCTGCCGGGTCGAATTCCGATACGTACTATTGTTGTTTCTTCTTACCACAAACTTTACTCAAAAAAACAACTCTAAAATGCGTTTTCCGAATCAGAAACCCATCGTGCACTCTTTCCATTTATACATAATGTAAATGGCGTTAGTCATACCTACTTTGTGCGCATGCTTTGGAACGCGAATCATTTACATATGACAATATTTATTACCCTTTATACAAATTTGAAGTTTGTTGCATTCTGACGGTGTAGTAACTGATAAGTTATTACAGCGTCGGTGATCAGCAGTGTAGTAATTGCTTAGATGTCAAATTAGACATCATATCAGAATTAACTTTTTTAGTAGTTTACTTAGAGAAGGCAGGAGATAAAACTGGACGGTGGGAAACAGATCGTTAGCATTGAATCTTGTTTGTTGCAGAAAATAACCACAACAGTTTTGAGATTAGATAAAAAGGCTTATAAGCTCAAAGTTCTCAACATTTAGCTAAAAATATGTATATAAAATTAGGGATTGTCTTGTAAATTTCTTATATTATTGTATTATCTATTCCATTAGATCAGTACATTTTGGGAAATGTCAAATAATTATCTTCGCCATCAAAGAGCGGTATTTACATCGAAACTAATTTGTTGCTTTTGATTATATTTGTGTAATTTTTTTAAACTGCTATATACGACGGTATTCAGAAAGGCGTTTTGATCGGAGAAAGTACTATCTGTTTGGCTCCTCTTCGTTGAATATTAGTAAACAAAGTCTGAAGAGAAGAACAACTTGGTTATTCTTTATTTCTAAAAGAGTAGCAGATTTAAATAGTGAACTATCTTCCATTTTTGATGTAATGCCAAACTTTGTTATTATATCGAAGCAGAGTTCTCTCCCAGAAGGGCAGTTAGCTGTGATAATATCTTTTATGTACACAGACCTGACTTCTTTAATGGTATGGCGTAATATTGTTTTTCATCTCGACATTACTGATATCTGGTACATAACTTCGAGATATTTTCCCTATACTGCTGGCAAGTCACTCCATCCTGCTGAGAATACTCTTACGCCAGGTCTATATAATTTATTGTTCTATTATTTATATGAAAATCGCTGCCCCTAGCTATCAAAAACATGATGAAGTCTTAGATTTTCAGCGCATGGATGAGTTATTCGATATGAGTAAAGTTAAGTTACCAGAATTTTTTTATTCTTCCTCTTTAGTACTAATTTATGCAAAAAAACACTTCGTTTCATTTTAAGTGAATCATGGTACGTTAACATATACTTTTTGCACTCAGCTTATCCTTTGAATAATATATTGCATTCCTGTAAACTGCTGATTAGCAAATTATTTTAAAATGAGGATGGATTAAACTGCGAGACAAGAAACGATATCTTCGAATTAAAACTGAATGAAAGAAAAATCCATTATAGAATATGTAATATAAAACTAATTGCTAATTTTTTGATTGATCATCGCTTAAAGATCACTATAATTCTAAATGTAAAATGAACTGTCACTTAATTAGCAGAAATAGAATTTTTTAAAATTTACAAATTTTAACCTTTCTTGCATGGCAATGAAATTTTATCTCCTGAGTATTACTTTAACAAATTTCATTCCATATCTGAATGAAATTAACATATTACAGTTTACATTACAGTTACTAAAAATGTTGAAAAAGCTCAAATATCGATATTTCATTTTAGATTAACTGCTTTCTAAATCAGAAATTAAATTATTTTGTTTAGCAATATTTCCATTAAATGAATGAATGAACTTTGTAGTATGAGTAAATTATTATCGGTTAGTTCAATGTTTCTGAAAAAAGATTACGAGATGATATGGGTGATAGAATTCTTCTATAGGATTTTATTATTGCCGTGAAGATTGTTATTAATTTTTTGTTACAAGATCACAATTCTAAATTTCCTGCTTGCACAGTTCTCTTCTATGAATCCGATAAGGATGTTCGTTGGAGATGGTAATGTCACTCAAGAGTTTCTGAATCCGAGCTTCTTGCAATTCCCGTTGCCTGGCAAGAGCTTCTAGTTCCTTATCTCGGAGAAGGTTCTCAGCTTTCAGTTTTTCTTCTTTCGTGCGAATTTGTTCCTAAACGCAATCAAAAAAAAAAAAAAAAAAAAAAAGGTTAGCTAGTAAGCTGCGCACAAAGTGCATTTCAGAAAGTTCAAGTAAACAGTATGTCTCCGTGATTTATCGTTTAATTGAAATGCGCAATATCTTTCTCATGCCCATTTTTACCCGAAAAAAAAAACAGTTAAAAACTGGCATAAAATCGACGACTTCAGTGCATAAATAACACAAGTTCAAAAATTCTTTACAATATTCTTCATTTTAAAACAGGTCAGTAGCTTCATTTTTTTAGATCTTAATAAAAAATGTAAGGGCTCAAAATTTTTAAAATTATTATACATGATGCCGGAGTAATAAAATTTCTTATTCAGAATTATAAATAAGTCCAAATCTTTGAAATGTTGAAAATGTGGTAAAAAGACCTGACATTTTGATTATTAGCCAAAGAAGTGTTAGCCCAGAAGGGGTGTTAGTTTCAAAATGGCATTTTTCTTCGATTCACTAGAAACGGCGTATCACTTTTTAAATTTTTACCATTGAATATTATCACCCATACTTAAGGAAATTAAATAGGACTTAAGGAAATTAAATAATGAAGAATCTTCATGAATGTATGTAAGTTTCTCGCAATGTGAAAAAATGACTGTACCCAGAGCCATCAAATTTTGTATAACGTAAATCTTCGCCCGAACATTGGCGCTTGGAAGCCCGAATGTTGAATTTCAAGTTTGTTTTATTATCTATTTCATGTTTTATAAAACTTTAACGAGTTTTTTTATATGTGAGGTATAACCTAATTTTATAACAGTAATTTTAAGTTTCCTATCTCTTCTAGGTTCAGCTTAATTCTTTAACAGAATGAATTTATAGAATCGCGTTAAATGCCAATGAGAAGTAGAAAATACTTAAGTCAAAGTTCCACTAACTTCGAGAGAGAGAGAGAGTTAGGATTCCTGAAAAGCGCGCGTTTGCCTTTTGGCTATGTCTCTGTTCGATGTTATGCAAATTGTATTTCTTTCTTTGTACCGAGGAGCGGCGCAGACGCAAATTTGTTAGGTTTTTAAAGCTCGCGTTTAAAGCTTTGAGGTTGCTGTGAATTACTGGAGTTTCAATTAAGCAGAGGTTCTTCTGAGTTTGTGTGGTAAGCCGCTACCGAAATCGGAGTTTGCAGTGTGGTCTTCGCCGTTCCTCAACCAACTTAATGTTTGAAAGCCAATAAAGAAGTTTCGGTCAACATTATGACTCTGAGGTTCTTGGGTTCTATACTGAAGTAATATCAAGTCAATTTACAGTTCACTATTTTTAAACAACGGAACGTACAGTCTCTCTAACTGTTATTATTCTCGGCCGTATTATATACTTTTTTGTAGCTTCGCTGGCTAGTTTAATATTATGGGCCAACTAGGCTAGAATTTGTGTTAGCTTGGCTAAATATCGTTAGTTAGTCATTAGATAGTTCTTATTTCTTATATTTTGAGTTAAGTGGAGGCTTTGTTGTACTCCCTGAGAAAGGGGCCGACTGTAGGTTTTTATTTGGAGCAAATAAAGGGTAATTAAGCATTCTCAAATTTACGTTTCTTTTCTTGGACTTAAGCGATTATTCGTTCAGCAGTTCTCTAGGTTCCTCAACATTAAAGTTCCTATCACATATATTTCAGTTACTCGGGACTGGACGTCGAAAGGGACATTTCTCAGAACCCGCACATTTCCACGAAACTTACGTAGCTAGGTTACCATTTTTACTTAGTAAACGAATTTGAACGCCAAACAGTAATCGATTATTGCTCAGACTGGGATCACATGATCCTTCAGAAGCAGAACTTTCGTCTGATTGATTGATCTCTACCCGGAACAGAGCTGCAGACGGAACATTTCCGGCGAAGTTACAAAATATCCCGCGCAGCCGGGACATCGTTTCCGTAATTAGGTGGAACTTCGCTTTCAGAGGAGCTGTTGTTTCAAGGAATCCTCGCGTTTAAACCAGTGCTATCAAGATCTCGTTTCTCAGAAAAGTCCGGTCTAGCGGGGACCGTCGCTAGATGTGATAACCCCTTTAGTTTAGTAGAATAACACGGAGGAACACTACAGATCAACAAACTCATTGTACGAAAAAAGAAACATTTTTATCTCCTGACTGTCTATCGGAAATTTTAAAGGTATGGTGTTTTTAAACATTTTGTGATAAATGCGAAGAACTTGATATTCATTAAATAAAGGCAACACGCTAGACATTAAAAAACAGGCGTAATATAATTTTATTTATTTAATCAATATTATTTTCTGTTGTTATTATTATTTTTATTCCTCGCTTTTGCTGAATTAATTTAGGCTAAGCATCCCCAGACAGCATATCTTAGCTTCACTGCAGTTCCGGCAGAAGCACTCCAGGAGATGGAATTGAGAGTTTTATACCTGTCTTACCTTAGTTCTATTCTCTGGAAAGTAATTTCAAATCGACAGATATTTAATACCTCCATTTCGTAAAGATATTATACTGTATGCTTTGCTGGGGATTATAGCCTGGGTATGCTTGCTGGGGATTATAACCTGGGTATGCTTTGCTGGGGATTATAGCCTATTATACACGCCATAGCTGTGATATTCGGCTCTTCCTAGATAACTACGGTAGCTCAGGGATAGAAATGAAATCAAAACAGCCTTTATAGTTTTTGCTATCATTACGTAAATTATGGCTGAATTTCTTTCAAATCCTTAAAGCGTTTTAAATTATTCTACGAAAAACTAAACTTTTCTCAAAAGGTATATTTAACATTTTGGCATCTTACGAACGATTCAGTGTAAGAAACGGTTTTGGAATAACGCATTGCGTAAAACTCACCGATTTCCGAAGTATGCAATCAATCATCTGCGAGAGTTGAATTGAAATTAATTTCATAAGGCGTTTGAAAAACATAATTTCAGGAAGATCGTAGGTAAATTAACTAAAGAAATTACTATTAATTTAACAGATAACAAAGATGTTTTTACTATTTTTACATGCAATCAGACAAAACATGAATGACTTTAAATCTATGCATTGTGATTTAATTCTCTATTAAATCTATGTACGGTGATTTAATTTTCTATAATATGTAATTGGCATTCTCCTTATTTTAGAAAATTCGTCGTAAGGGATATCACAAATATCATCCCTTACGATATTCTACTCAGTTATTAGAAGAATATCGTAATAGATGATATTTACCATATTAGAAAATGCATGTTTATTGCATTTAATAATCTTCTAAGTCTAAAAAGTAAATTACCAAAAGATCCTTCTGATGAGATACATGTTTCTCTCTGATTAGTCTCAGTTTTTCTTCTTCTCTTTTTTTATCTTCTTCGTCTTCTTTCAAGACTTCTTGGGCGTATAATTTCGACATTTCCTGCACTTTCTTTACCTTCTCCTCTACAAACAAACAGCACGTTTAGCAAATAATATAAACATACAGTTTATCTATTTTACTATGTAAGTTGTTTGTGGTCCTAATAAAACGGGAAGTTAAATTTAGATTGCCACTCCGAAAATTTGATCTTATGCAGAAAAGCTGAACGAAATCAAAAAACCAGAAAAATTAAGATGAATAAGCAGAATAAGGAACTAATACTTAGCGTTCGTAAACACTCACATTCAATCTAAATACAAAGTTACATGATCTGAAATGAGAAAATTTCTAAGAAATCGTTCTAGCTTGTAAGTATGTTGCTCTAACACATAAATTTTTATTTTGCTTTTTCTTCTTCCTCCTGTCATTCCATCGAGGACTATACAAATATAATTAATATTACAACAATCAATACAACCAGAAGTACAATTTAGCAAAATGAAGCTATGAAAAATATCCTGCTCGCAGTTACCAAGGTATCCTAAGCTGTTAACCAGTGTTGATAATCCAATATCAGAGTAACTGACTAAAACATCCAGAATTCTGAGCGATTCAAACATTAATGACAGGCGTGAAATCGGGAAGAATCGAAGTGTCTGTAGATAATTTCTTTATAATCTTCTGTTCCAAGATTTGGTGTCAAAGAATTTGGGGAATTCCAAGAACAAATTTTAAAAACGTTGACGATACTATAAAACACAGCCTTATTCATTTACACTCATGTCTATAAATTAAGGATAATGCAAAATCAGACAAAGGAAGAGTTAGAAGTAAAACAAATTTGACTTATTTGTAAAGCTTATTTATTAAACAAAAAATAAAGAGCAAAAAAAAGATGCTATATTTTTTATATTATTAAAAAAAATTAGCGATTTTTTTCTCCCTGGAGCAAATTACCAAAAAAAAAAAAAAACTATTTACAAAAAAGCAATTTTACATGGTTGGTATGATTGTTAATACATTGTATGTCTCCCAGGCGATGCAATACAGTCCGTGCAACGCCTAGGCATGCTGAGTATCAAATTATCGATCTGATCTTGGGAGATATTACACCACTCAAAAAGCAATGCTCTCCGAAGTTCCGGTAGACATGTAGGAGGAGGTTGACGGGCTGCAACTCGTCGGCCAAGCATGTCCCACACGTGCTCTACTGGATTCAAGTCCGCTGAGAATGCTGACCAGTCCATACGGGTGATATCCTCCGATTGAAGGCATTCGCTTACGATGTTTGCACGGTGAGGACGGGCGTTGTCATCCATAAACACAAATTGTGTGCCCATGGCGCCCCGAAACAAACGTACATGTTGTTCCAGAATGACGTTCCGATAGATTTGGCTTGTCATGCTTCCAAGTTGAACATGCAGGTCAGTTCTGGAACCCAGAATAATTCCACCCCAAACGAGCACTCCTGCACCACCGTAACGGTGTCGTTCAATGATGTTTTCTTGGTGGTAATGGGTACCTGGAGCTCTCCATATGAAAGTCCGGCGAGAATCAGACTGCAAGCTAAACCTGGATTCGTCGGAAAACATCACTCAATCCCACTGTTGCGGTGTCCACAATGCTCGCTCTGTACTCCAGGCTAACCGCAGGCGACAGTGAGTTGCAGTAAGTGGAACGCATCTGACAGGTCTACGAGCAAATAGACCAATCTGCCCTAAGCGTCTGTACACGGTCTGCCTTGAAATTGTACCAGTGGCTGAAGAGAGCTGGCGAGACAGGTCTGAGGCTGTGCTCCGCCTGTTTCTTTTGGCAGTAACTGCCAAATACCAGTCCTCATTCGGCGTTGTTACTCTGGGGTGACTTGTGCTACGTCTCCTCACATTACCATCACCTTGGAATCGTTGCCAAAGCCTGAAGATGACACTCTGGGCAATTCCAAGTTCGTCTGATACTTCCAGTTGGGTATGCCCACATTCCAGACGGTCGATAATTCTACCACGTAAAAAATCATTCAAATGCGTCCTTTGTGTCATAACTATGCGGTTATTGCACTGAAGTGCTTATAAAGCGCCTGCGAACAACTTTACTTCTTTGCCTGTATCCCTTATATATCACTCTCTTACACTCTCGTCATTGTGACGTACCATCGGTGTCATCTGGTTACTTCTTAAAGATGTGTGTAGTGATTTTACAGGTGATATATTTATTTTAGAGTTCGATTTCCGCGTGACTCTGAATTATCCTTAATTTATGGACATGAGTGTACTTTCTCCTCACCATTAAAAGTTGTTTCACCATGAAATAAGTGCACAAAGAATCTCAAATTTACAGATATGATACTTGCATGAAAGGTAGAATCTGCTAGTATTCTGATTAAAACGTTTTGAAAAATATGCAGTGTGAAGTGTCTTGAATGTTGTGTTTTGAATTTAAAATGTTATGCTATGTTTTGAATTTAAAATCTTATGTTATGTTTTGAATTTAAAATGTTATGCTATGTTTTGAATTTAAAATCTTATGTTATGTTTTGAATTTAAAATGTTATGTCTTAAATGTTATGTTTTGCGTGAGTTATCTTAGCATATCTGATGTGCAATTCGTATTTGCTTCGCTTTATGGTGAATTTATGAACGTTTTAGATTCAAGGAGAACTAAGCCTAATCTTCACGGTTTGTTTACCTTTTTTATCAAGTGGATTTCACATCACATTCCAGCAAAACGTATTTTTAGTCCTGGACTGTCTTCTGAGTTTGAACAGAATCTGACTTGATTTCCATCATTATCTCTACGGCATAAAATTCCTGCTGCGCACAGATCATGCATCATTTAACGCATCTTTTGAATTTCAAGAATCCTGAGGGTCAAAAAGCCAGGTGGATACAAACACTCCGAGAATATGACATCACTATCCATTATCGGAAGAGATCATCAGAAGGAAACGCCGACGCCCTGTCTATAAGACCTTGCCCAGAAAGCTCCTGACATTGATCCAGGGTCCAAGCTAAATACGAGCCGCTTAATCCGGTCTCATGACAAAATACAATATCAACATCGGGCTGATCGAGACCCATAGAGTGAGAGATATGTCAGTAAAGACCAGGTGGGAGACGGCGACATTAAACCCATAATTGATTTAATGGAGTCCTCAAACAGAAAACCTGTCTGGCAGGACATTACGATCTATAATCCAAAGACAAAACAAACTGGGCTCTCTGGGACTTATTCCATATTTGAAACGGCGTCCTGTACTGGAAATTCGAATCAGTTGATGGACCATGGCATCTGATACTTCCAAGATCTTGGATTTCGGACATCCTTAAACTTAGAACCTTATCCTTATCCTTATCTTAGAACTACATAGCAGCCCTACAGAAGGTCACTTTGAAATAATGAAAATCTTGCAGAGAGTTCGAGAGTGCTTCTACTGGAGTAACGCAAGGAATGACGTGCAAAAGTGGTGCCGACTTCGCGATGCCTGGGCGGCTCAGAAAGGACCAAAGAAACGTAGCCAAGACAAGCTGCAATGTTATAATGAGGAGAACCTTTTGAACGTATCGCCTTTGACATCCGGTGACCTCTACCACGAATTGCTGATGGCAACAATTACATCCTGGTTGTCACTGATTACTTCACTATGTGGCCTGAAGCATATACTATTCCTGATCAAGAGATTTTCACAGTAGCAGAAGTAGATAATGCCGCATTGGATTCGGAGTGACACTTCAATTACATTCTAATCAAATTTTGAAGAAATTTTGCATTGGCTGTAATTAAAGAACTCTGCAAACTACTTGGCACTGACAAAACACAAACTACACCTTTACATTCTCAGTCATATGGTATGGTGGAGAGGTTTAATCAACCATCCTTAATAACCTCTCGTTGGTGGTTTCCAAAAACCAACAGGACTAGGACAAGAAATGTATTTTTTTTTTGTGCTTATCGCAGTGTTGTCCACGAGACTACCAGCTATTCCCCATCCCAGATGCTCTTCGGTCGTAACCTTAGTCTGCCTTGTGGTCTTCTGTTTGATCGCCCTCCAGAAGCGCCTTCATCGCCTGAGGAATACACCCAAGATCTCTAAGCCCGGTTTAAAGTGATGCACAATTTTGCACGAGGGCGAGTCAACTTGTCGACGAAGAAGATGAAGACACGATACAACACCAGAGCTACTGGACATCGATTCAACGAAGGAGATAAGGTGTTATTGTGGAATCCGGTTCGACGGAAAGGACTCTGCCCAAAACTACTGTCACCTTGAGATGGTCCTTACACAGTTCTAAACAGGCTGGACGACGACATAGTTCGGATTCGTAAGTCATCGAATTCTGAGCCTAAAGTCGTGCATTACGACAGATTAGCTCTTTACTACGGCCATAGTACGTAGTGTATATAATGTAAATAGTATAAGACCATGATCTTGTTTGTTTCTAAATTTGTAAATTTCTGCACACATTTATATATTTAGTATTTGATTTGTTTTAAGTACTTATGGGAATTATTGTTTGTGTTATTATTGTAATGTAATGTTTATTATTGCATTGAGGCCTTAGTTATAGGGATTGTACTGTCCGGGACGTGCAGTCCTTGGAAAGGGGACAGTGTTACGAATTTGGTATTTAGATAGATATTTTTGGTAGAATTATAATTAAATTTTTTTTTATTTCCCTGTGTAATGCAGCAAGAGACGAATTTTAAAAGAATGCTATGCCGGAAAAGTAAAAAATACAGGAATACCTGCATTTAACTTTGAATAAATGGATATCTCGTTAATTTGTATTGAAATTGAATAAATGTAATTGACTACTGTGTTTGCTATAACTGTAATTTCATCCTCTTATTGTTTTCCAGAACTCTCGAGAAGCAGAAATTACTAGAAGCTTCTCGCAACTGATTGAAAGCTATAAAATGCCAGAGAGAGAACATCTCAGCTCAGTTACTTAGTTGCTATTACTGCAAGATGTAGTTCCGCGCGGACGGAGATAAATCGGAGTTATCTTTCTCTTTAGATAATGCTTTGCACGGCGTTGTATTTTAACGTTTTTGTATTTAAAAGTGTAACGATTGATTATATTGCGTG